TCAGTAACCCTGCTTGAATTCATGAACTCTGCTTGTATCCTTACGCGCAAACGTTGTATGTACCCTGTATTCCTGACCCTCTCCTGTATTCCTGACGCTTTGCTTTGTATCCATTACTTCTGCTTGTATTCCTGACAGCCTGTTTTCTTAACAACTCTGCTGTATTGTTTTGGCTCTGCCTTGCATTCCTAAACTCTTGCTTGGTATTCGAATCCCTGCTTGCTTTTCTAGCCCGTGCTGGAACTTTTTGATCCTACTTTGAAATTAATGTTTTTTTTTTTGTTTTGTTTGTTGTTTTTTAGCTAGGGATTAGTTTTTTTTTTTTTTCCTCTTTTTTTTTTCTTTTTTGAATAGATGGATGTTTTTATGTTCGTTGTTGTCAGTCTTATGTATACCGTGTATTATATAAATATTACACACATTCATGAATACATACATACATAATTGTAATACAAGTGTTATGTAATATGTATATGTACTATATATAGGATATATTATAGTAGTATATATATAATATATATATATATATATTATACATATATATATATATATATAATATATATATATAATATATATTATATAGTGTTGTGGTGTGTGTCTGGTGTGTGGTGTGTGTGTGTGTGGTGTGTGTGTGTGTGTTTTTAATCAAAATTAGTTAATACAAAACACACACTTCTAAGATTTAGGTGACTTTATATATATATATACATATTAACTATATATATAAATATATAATACTAATTAAGTATATATATTATATAGTAATCATATATAATGCATATATATACATATAATATATGTATATATCATATATTATATATATGAGAATATATTTATATATCTGTTACAACACACACACACGCATGCTAATACTTATAACCATATGTAAAGTACGTATAACAAATAATATATATATATTATATATATATATTATAAGTGTATCTTATATATATAGTATATAAACGCACTATATACATATATATATTCGCGTTTTTATACAAAAGGTAGAGGAGAATCCCAGCCGCGCGTGACCCCGCCGACCACCCCCCCCCCCCCCCCCCCCCCCTCGAGGCTCACGAAGTAAAAGCAATATCTCTTCATTTTGCGAGAGAATAATGTTTGGACTGAACTCCTCGTAATTTCCTGATATAATTATGTAATAATATTCCACTTTTTATAATTCACGGCCATTCTTAAATGATGTTCGTTAATTTACTCTCTTTTATCTCATTGGTTTATATACGGTCCCGTATTAAGATTCAGATTTAATTGGTCGTTTTTGAAGAAACCTCTGACATAAACGCTCAAAGCTAAGCAATTATATCGTCGCACACATACTACAATTGACGTATATATAATATAATATAATAAAGTATATATAATATATAGTATATTATATACTACTAATATAGATATATATATACTATATATATATTATATATATTACAATATATATATATATATACTCATATATATACGTATATATATATCATACTATATATATATATATATATATATATATATATATATTTATATATATAATACATATATATATATAAATATAATAATATATAATATATAATATATAAACGTATATATATAATTATATATAAATAATATAAATATAATAATATAGTTTTTTTAAAAATTTATAAAATTTTATAAAATATTTTAAATTGGGTAATTTTTTTTTTTTTTTTTTAAAATAAAAAAAAGTAATAACTGTATATATATTATATATATATATATATTTATAGTATATGAATATATATATATATATATATATATAATGACATATAATATCATCACTATCAATATATGTTGTAATGTATTATATATATTATATAATACTATACATATATATATATATATTATATATATATATACAATATATATATCAATATATATAATATATATTATATTAGTATATATATAATAATATATATATTGTAATTGTATATATATTATAGTGTATATTATATATATATAAATATATTATAATAATATATATATAAATATATAAATATTATATATAAGTATATTATATATATACTATACATATATCCATATTATGTTAATAATATATATACACACAGATACACACACACACACACATATATTATATATATAATAAGTTTTAATAAAAAAAATTAAAAAAATATATATATATATATATCAGTAATATATATATTATAATATATAGTATTATAAATATATTGTATATATATAAGACATTATATATATACAATACATAATATAACATATATATAACATAAATGTTTATACATAATGATATAATATATATAGTATAATTATATATATATAGTAATATATAGTATAGATGTTGTATATGTAGTGTATATATTATAATATAATATATATACTGTATATAGCTGTATAGTATAGTACTACATACTAAATAATGCATATATATAAATCAATGCATAATAAATATCTGCATATAATATATAATATATATATATACTATAATTAATATATATATAATAGTATAATACATATATAGTAAATATATATAGTATACATATTTTAATTATATAAGTATATATATATATATATTATAATGTATATATATTATATATATAATAGTATAATATATATAATGAATATGTTGTGTGTGTGGTGTGTGTGTGTGTGTGTGTGTGTGTGTGTTGTGTATAGTATATATAATATATTATAAATATATATATATAATATAAATATATTTAACAAAAATATATATAATATCACTATATATAATACTATTATATAATAATAATGATAATATGTATATATATAGTAATAATAGGTATATATATTCCATATAGTTGTATATATACGATAATATAATATATAATATAAGTATATTAGTATATATATATTATATAATATATATATATATATATAATATATACATAATATAGTATACTATGTGTATATATTAGCTATATATCATATAATATATTATGTAAGTCTATAAGTATTATAATACTATATAGTCATATATACAATTATAATGCATATATACTATGCATAATATATAAGTATATATATCGTATAAACTATATATAGTATATATATATAAATTATAGTTATATATATATATAATCATATATATCATATAATATATATATATATATATATATATAGTATATATATACTATTATAACCTATATTAAGACATATATATAATAGTATATTATATAATATTATATTATATGTATATATATATATATATATATATATATATCGTATATATATATACATGTGTGTATATATATTATAGTATACTATATAGTTATATTATTATACATATAAGTATTAGTAAATATATATGATATATATGTATATAATAATATATATATAATATATAATATCATATAACACACACACAATATAATATATATATATATATATATATATATATATATATATATACAATATATAATATATATATATATATATATAAATATTATATATAATGTATATGTAATATATATATATTGATATATATACATATATATATATATATATATAATACTTAATATAATATGGTAGTATGTGATATATATACATAATATATATGTATATATTATTGTGTGTATATATATATAATATATAATTATATATATATATATATCTATATTAGTGTGTGTTGTGGTGTGTGTGTGTGGTGTGTGTGTTGTGTGTGTTGTGTGTGTGGTTGTTGGTGTGTGTATGTATATATAAATATAATATATAAATATAATATAATATAGTATATATATATTAATATGATTATGTATATAATACACGTAATATAAATAACATATATATATATATATAATATTATTGTAATTGTGGTTGTCGTGTGTGTGGTGTGGTTTGTGTGGTGTGTGTGTGTTATGTGTGTGTGGTGTGTGTTGTGTGGTGTTGTGGTGTTGTGATGTGTGTGTCGTGTTGGTTGTGTGTGTGTGTGTGTGGTGGTGTGTTGTGTGTGTGGTGTGTGTTGTGTGTTATGCTATATATATATAAATATATATATAATATATATATCTATATATAATATTATACTATATTAATAATCATATATTATTATATATATGTATGACTATACATATAATATTATATAGTATTATTATATATATATATATATACATATTATATACATTATATATATAGTATAAGTATAATATATATATATATATATAATATGTATCTAATATATATATTATATATAGCTGTGTGTGTGTGTGTGTGTGTGTGTGTGTGTGTGTGTGTGCTGTTGTGTGATGTCGTGTGTGTGTGTGTGTGTGGTGTGTGTATGTCTATATATATATATAGTAGTATATATATATATACTATATATATATACTATATATATAAGTAATTATATATGTATATATAATATATAATAATTATATATATATATTATATATAATCATATATAGTATTTACACACAACATCAGAGTAGCACACACACACACCACACACTCATACTTATACTACACACATTAGTAGTTAGTATATTATTATGGTGTGTGGCGGTGTGTGTGTGTGTGTTGTTGTGTGTGTGTGTGTGTGTGTGTTGTGTTGTGTGTGTGTGTGTGTGTGTGTGTGTGTGTGTGTGTGTGTGTGTGTGTGTGTGTGTGTGTGTGGTTGTGGTGTGGGTGTGTGTCGTGTGTGTGTGTGCTGTGTGGTGTGTGTGTGTAATGGTCTGGTGTTGTGTGTTGTGTGTGTGTGTGGTGTGTTGTGTGGTCTATATATATACATATATATAAATATAAATATAGTATATATAAATATAAATATATGTATTATAAACCATTATGTATATAAGATAGACAGATAGATGGAGAGATAGAGAGACTACACACCGAACATATATATACATATGTATGTAGTATATAATATATACAAGAATATATATATATATATCATATATTTATATACATATATATATTATAAATATATCTATATATCTATATATAATTATATATTATTATATATATACAATGCATTATTGTTGTAAATATGTGTGTGCAAACTATAGTATAATATTATATACTATATATATATATATAATATAATAATATATATAAATATGTGTGTGTGTGTGTGTGTGTGTGTGGTTGTGTGTGTGGTTTGTGTGTGGGTGTGTG